TTTTTTTTAAAAATTAAATCTTTATGAACTTAACAATATATAATATAAAAATAAAAGAAATATTACAAGAATTGTAAAGCTGTTAAAATGTCTTCTTACCAAAATTGGTTTCTTAATAGTGATTTACTTAAATCCTTTGCTTTGAATATACTAAATAATTTTCAAAAAGTTGAAATTCGCAAAATTAGAATAGAAAAATCTCTTTGTCAACATTGCTATTTAGAACTTTTTTCAACCGCACCAATTATTATTTTGATCTGTGGACATGCATTTCATCGCGACTGCATCGAATGTCAAATCAACCAAATTTCAAATTCAGATTGTCCTAAATATCCCAATTGCAACAACCATGAAGTATACATTGATGAAATTGTAATTTCATATAAACAAAAGAAAAAAATAAAAGAAAATAATATTGAAAATTTGTTGAAACTTAAAAGACTTGCTCATGAATTATTAACTGTGCCAAATGAACAAAGCAATCCTTCTGATGTGGAAAACTCTGGAGAGTCAAATAATTTTATTAATCTTAGTAATAGTATTACTCTTGCTGAAAACAATAATAAAAAGTTGAAACATAAGGTTCTGAAGTGTTATTACGATCTTGGAAAGGCTTTATTATAGCAACTTAATATTTATAAAAAATTACATAATGAAATAGAAGCAAAAAAATTACTTAATAACCAATTTCATAATGATCTAAATAATGTAATACCTACTTATAAAGCACGTAGTAAAAGAAAAGAAAGGTGTAAAAAGATCTATAAACTCTTTAGTTGTTTTAATACAAATGACGATAAGGGTAGAAAAGTTATTGAACAAATTGAAAATTTTAATGTGTCAACTATTTTAAATCTAAAAAAGGAAGAGATTAGAATTGTAACAGAACCTAATCACTTTCAACTTAATCTTGATACTATTAAGCAATATTTAAATATACCACTCAAATCTGATTCATCTTTAAAATACTCTCTAAATATTGAAAATAACCTCTTTATGAACAAT